CCCCCCCCATCCTGTCTCGCTCACTGGAGGGAGAGCCCGACATGTCCCCTGGGGATGCCCAAACACAGCGCTTTGCGTTTACCTACGTGGAATTTTATCTGTCACCCCATCACACCCAGCAGTGTCTGCAGCCCCCCATAGAGCTCATCCGTCCCCATCTCTCCGGGCAGCTCGGGGCACCGCCGCATGTTCAGCTGTTTGTAACACAGCTGGTGGCACAGGTCGCTGCAGAGACCCGAGCCACGCCGGCGGGGACTTCACCTCGTGACAAGAACCACAAATTAACTCCTGTTCTTGCTCCCTTTCTTTTAGTCAGTTATTAACCCATGCAAAGACCTCCACTGCCACCCCATGGGTGCGGAGTTGCTCCCAAAGAGCCTTTGAAAGGGATTTTTTCCAATTTTCTCCAGGAACGCGAGCAGGCGGTGTTTGCTGGGTCATCCACAGCATCCCCACCGCTGCCACCCCAGACACCCTCCCACTGCAAACTCATGCTGTCTCTTTCTCGGGGACCACATAGCCACAAATTCTGCTCTTTATTACGGTTTCTACTAATTTGCCCGGTTCCAGTTCGGGTTTGCAGGCCTGTAGCTCCCTACCCAGCAAGCTTTCAGGAAAGGCTGGCATCCCACGAGCAGCCTTGCTGCCGGCCGCCTGCTCACGCCGCACAGGCAGCGGCACAGCCCTGATCACGGCAAGCTCAGCCTGGCAACGCCGCGCTGCTCCCCTCGGCTACTCCTCGCCTGTCTCCTGCTGTCGGCCCTGCCATTTCACACAGATCCCCCAGCAAGCTTCCCCCACTTCTCTATTGTCCACATGGATGCCAAAATACAAGAATATTGGGTTTATGCAACTGTTTTTCTGGGAATATTTCTGCTCTGGATATTATGAAAAATAGTTTATTGCCAGATTTAAATCCTTCTGATATTGGTCCTCAGGATCTCTTTGGTCTTCTTTACTATGTTTTTACAGCAAAACTTCTAAAGTTTAGCATCCTTCCTATGTTCTTCTTCATTCATGACCTTTTGGGAGATGGCAGCTTTCCTCTAGCTGCGTTCCCCACCCGCTGCTTCGTCACCCTGGCCTGCTTTGGTCCGCTCTTGGGCTTAACAGGAGAGACGAGACACACCAAGCCTCCCCAGTGGGTTCTGTTCACAGCCCTCCCTCCCGCTGCAAAGGTGTAATCCTTTCACTTGCTTTTTCCTTTATTTTTTTACTTCTCATTCTCTAGATTAAACAGAACAACAGCATCTTATTTGGCACTTGGAAAAAAGCCACTTTTTTGGCACTTGTAACTCCCGCAGGGGCTTGGACCCAAGCACCAACCAGCTCCTCTGCAGCACTATTTTGGCCTGGCTATGTTGACCCAGGAGCAGGGGGCTGGCTGGGAGCCCTCCACCATGGGACACCCCTGTCATGCCGATGGAGCCCCAGAGCCATCACCTCCCTCCGTGACTTATATAGGGGTACATTCAGGGGTGCAGAGCCCCCTCTGTGCTCCTTGCTCCCCGCTGCCGGCCGTGCCCCCCACGCCGTCTCCCGGTGCCTCTGCCTCCCTCCCTCGGGGCCTCTGTGCCGCCCTGCTTGCCCAGACGGGCCGGCTCCATTTCCAGTAGGACCACTGCCATTTTCGGGTTGAGCCTCTGGCTGAGGACACAGGCTGGTCACTGCTCCTTGAGGGATGCTTTGGACCGCACCAGCAGCCTCTGTTCCCCATCTTGGAGGTACTCGAGCTGCTTGCTAAAGCTGTGTTTTAACATAGGCAGGGAAACTTGTATCCCCCTCCCTCATTCTCAGCAAAAGGTCAGCTGTTTTAGACCAAGTTTTCTAAAAAAGAACTAGAAAGCATCCCTTAGGCAAACACCTATCATGGAAAATTTCAGTCCCAAGAGTTCTGCAAAGTCTCAAGCACAGAAGGAGCGGAGGTCGGGGAGAGGGCAGTGCCCCGGCTGGCATCCCTGCTGCTGGCTGGTCAGAAGAGACCCTTTCGGCTTATATGGCCCAAAATGGGAGTGGGAGACAAAAGCCCAGCACCGCCCTTGGCAGTGTCTCTTGGCAAGACCACCTGGCTGGAGAGGCAAGGTGCTGCTGTGGCATGGTGCTCGCCAAGCACATGGGGAGGCTGCCAGAGGTGTGCCTCGGCGTCACCTCCTCCCCGGGAGCCTGTGGTGGGGGCACAAGGCTGCCACAGCTCCCACGGGCTGCCCCCCCC